GGGCCATACGAAAGCAAGCTTGAAACAGTAGCGGCTCAAGTAGGCCAACTGGCATAAATTGCTCCAAGACATGGGAAAACTGTAATTTCTGGCCAGTAATAATTTCATTCGGGCCTTTGCTATGCACCTCCGTAGAGCTCTTGTTATTTACTCAAATTATTGGTTACCCGGTAGTTACTGCATTCACTCTTTTAAAACAACTTCATAATTTTGATGCATGGCAGGCTGGATTCAATGAAGAAAGCGCACACTTTCCCTCGGAACCCTATTTAATACGAGGTTCCTGTGGTATTCAGTACGTATTAAGTTGTGTAGTAAGCCGTGGTTGATTCTGACACCTAGTTATCTATCTATACGCGGAATGCCAAGTTTTTCTACTAAAAAGGAAAGGTAAATGCTAACTTAACCACTTATCTACATCGCTGGCCCTTATACTTTTAGCGCATTTCCGTTCGGCAACGGTGCTTCATACAGCTATCGCCCTTTAGGAAGTTTGCAATACATATGTTCAGTTTACTTCCTGACCATCAAAAAGCACGTACCAGAAGATTATGTCAGTACTATGATTTAGGAAAGTCAAACTATCTCTACAGAGATAAGCAGGCAACCTACACTTTCCCCATCTGGCGCAAAGTCACGTGACCGAATGCGCTAGCTCGCCACCACGAAGACTGTTCCCGAATCGCTCTCCAGGCTTTGATCATACCCTTGCACATGTCCTGGAGAATGCACTGATTGTTTAAGATTGCCTTGTTTCCACCCAGTTGCTTTTTCTCATCATAAATGGCTCTTTCCCCTTGAATTCATACTGGTCAATTCAACTGTGACGCCGTTGTCTCCCGTACCCAAATCTGCACGCATATCTCTCTTTCAAACGCCCTCTTACCTTCGCTGCGTCTTTGCTTCCCCAAGTCTCGTCCACTTTGGTCGTATATACTATTCCATGCCTTGATCGCCCAAAGCGTGTGGAAGTGCCCCAAGGCTGTTCTCAACGAAGATTACATGAACTCATATCATATCTCTTGAGCTCGGTCGCAAGCGCGAATTAGATGGGTTGCGGCGTCTGATGCTGCTTGTTATACTGGCAGGGCCCGCGGAACTTTTATAACTCACATTATCTTACTGCAGACTAGTTGGCTTCGTCTCTGTATCCACCGGACTTTACACCTTGTTTGTATGCAGTGATTCGAACACTTGCCGCGCAGCACTCAAGACGCTTCTTCAATCTACTGAGTTCGAGCAAAGCCCTCGATAGATACTGGGTTTACGATCTCTAAGCATTTGAGACAGGAGTGAGGCTATACGTCATACTGTCATCTGCAATTTGCCAACCGTTCCGATTGTTGCTTGTTATCATTTGTCTGCCTTTGTTCTCGTGTATCTCTTGTGAAAGTGGCACCCCTCTATTGATCTAATTACATTCGCAACACCATCATTGACGTGCAATTGAATACAATGTCATCCTCTGTTCACTTCAAGTTCAAGTCTCAAAAGGAGCCTTCAAGGGTGACTTTTGATGGCACCGGTATCTCTGTCTTCGAATTGAAAAGAGAAATTATCAATCAGAGTAGACTGGGTGACGGGACTGACTTTGAGCTGTCTATCTACAATGAAGATACTAAAGAAGGTTAGTAGCTTCTGGAAACTGATTGCCTTGGTTTTACCGTTCATATCCACCTTGGTCCGCCCAACCCGTATGGCAAAGCGGGAACAGGTTGTGGTTGAAGTTAAGAGAAAAAATCCTTGGGGACTGACCGTTTGTTTTCATGGGACAGAATACGACGATGACACCAGCATAATACCGCGTTCTACGTCCGTCATCGCTCGGAGATTGCCTGCATCACGCCCAGGGAAGGGTGGTGCTGCTCGTTATGTTTCCGGGAAAATGCCAGTCAATGCGCGCAGTGCCCCCCGTAATGAACAATTTCCCTTGACTCGAGCATCTCCCAATACTAGCAACGGTGTTCTAGAGCTCAACAATGCCCAGACGGAGGAAGAGAAGATCAATGCACTGTTCAATTTGCAAGCAAATCAATGGAAAGAACAGCAGCAGGAAATGGCAAAGTAAGTGTGTCTATATGTAGTAAGACTTATTTTCTTTTTTTCTCCTCTACTGGTACTGACAATTCGTCTCCCGTATAGCGCTACCCCTGTTCCATTCGGACGTGGAAGGGGCAGACCTGTGAATGTTCCTGATCACCCCCCTCCCCCCGGCTACTTATGTTACCGCTGTCGTGAGAAAGGCAAGCTGTTCTAATATAATCATTGAAAGCTAAAACTAACGGTGTATTACCAGGACACTGGATCCAAGCTTGCCCCACAAATAATGACCCCAAATTTGATGGGAAGTATAGAGTAAAACGATCAACTGGTATACCCCGTTCATTACAAACCAAGGTCGAAAAGCCGGAATCCCTCACCCTGGACGGCTCAAACGAGGATCCTAGGAACACAGGTGTCATGGTTAATGCCGACGGCGATTTCGTCATAGCGAAGCCTGACAAGGCAGCCTGGGAATTATACCAGGAGAAAGCCAAAGCCTCCGCGGCAGCCGCAGCAGAAGCAGCAGCAGCAGAGTACAGCAAAGAACTGCAAGCACGTGGTTTAGAGTGTCCGATTGACAAGCGAATGTTTTTAGAGCCCACTAGAACTCCGTGCTGTCAAAGGACATACTGCAATGATTGTATTACCAATGCATTAATCGAGAGCGATTTTGTATGCCCTGGCTGTGGAACGGAGGGAGTATTACTCGATAATCTTACTGTTGATGATGAGGCTATCAGCAAGATCAAAGAGTACGAAGCTGAAAAAGCGGATTCGAAGAAAGAGAAGGACAAGCAACAGGCAAATGACAATGGTCCCGGTATTGACAAATCAGCCATGCAAGGCAAAGGGCCTGTTGCAAATACGGAGTCTTCGCCACCAATTCCGCCTAGTCAACCAGCTTCGAACAAAAGACCTGCTGAAGATGAACCTCCCCGTACTGCCACTGGTGGATCAAGTCCTAGTTCGTTGTCCAAAAAGCTGAAGACAAACGACAAGGCCGATTCACAAAATACACAGGCTACTGGGCCTGTGGCCGGTTTTCCAGCTTTCCCATTCGGCCAGCAGATGCCGTTCGGGAATTTTGGATTCATGCCGAACCAGGGAATGCCTACGATACCATTGTCTGATCCTATGAACTCTATGGGTGTTCCTTCGTCTGGTGGTTTCCCACCTAACATGGATCAATCGTGGAATCCCATGAATGCTATGAATTTTAGCCCTGCCCCAGGAATCTATGGCGACAATGTGAACAATTATGCCACACCGAACCTTTACAACGGCGTCGGAGAGCCATCTATGAACATGTTCCACATGCCTCAAATGATGGGACTTCAACCGAATCCTGGTCTTGCGCAAGGTCCCGGAATTGGTCGATTTTCAAACCAGCAGAGAACAACGTTTAGTACACCATTTGCCAGGGAAGAAGATACGGCTTATTTTCGGCAACCTGTTAATCCACAACGGCACCAAGCGAGACACAGGAGGATACGACCAAGTGACTATCGAGAGCTTTGAAGTGGTAGAGAAAAGTCACTTCGACGTGTCCGCGGTTGTTAGGTCTCAGGTCTCCCTTTTTCCGATATGTCTTGCTGTTCACCCCGTCACTCTCTAGTCTTTTTATGTTCATCGGCGTTCATAGCTGCTTCTTGATTCATTGTCATGTGGGCATGTGCATGTTGCAGGCTTTGCCCCTTTGAAATTTGCACATTGTTGGAGTTGAAAGGGAGATGGTTCCGGCTCTAATGGGCTTGTTATTTGAAGGTGCAATTGAATGTACACAATGTAATATTAGCGCCACATTAAGCAACTTGCCAAATAAAAAGTCTAGCGACTACCGATGCGTTTATTAGTGGCAAAGTGGTCGTAGATAGTAGTAGTCTTCATGAGGTCGGTCTGAGATCAAAGCCGCTCCGCCATTGGGTATCCACATATGGGAATTGCCTTCGTGAAATCAAGATATAACATCCATCAAAACCAGAGCTTAATTAAAATGACATGTAAATATCGATACATTACAATGTTTAGGGGGCCTATCAGATACTCATGTGTATATGATTGTCTGTGGGTGAAGGTATCCGTCGTCATCTACATGCATAACCACCTGAGGATCCTGCGAGGTTCCACATAGACCACCTCTCACATGTAATTTCCTATGTAAACTTACGTCTCTACAAACAGCATTGGGCATCTGATCAGATGACAAGAGTAAACTCAACTAGTTAGTTGGTTAACTAAAAAAGCTATAGATAACTACAGGGCACGCAATAACTAGTTAACCTAAGTTATGTTCCCGCCTGACTAATGGAGCCCCACATGTCATTTTAGTACTCCGTAGTAACTAGTCCCAGGAATCCACGGGAGACCACCCCAGTTTGTCCCATCCCTACTTAATTACCATCCAACCTCTAGTACACCTGCACCACCTTTCCGCATCGGTTGTCATTGCATCCTAACATTATCGCGGCTGTCAGAAGCTTATTACAAGATACCTACCCAGTGGACCCGAAATTTTATACGTATTCTCAAGCCGCGCCCACCTGTCCCGAAAGATAGCACATCTAATCTTCAACTTATAAGATCCATCATCATGGCCAAGTCATCGAATCACAACAGTAGCACCCGAAATCAGTTGCAGTGTACGCTCGACAAACATCCCCAGGCTAGCGTGCTTGCCAGTTGTTACAGCGTCAAATCATCCACTTCCGTGGTCGATAGTTTCCACTACTGCACTACCGCGGGGGCCGGTACGATGCCCCTTTCCGCAATCGATCGTTATGGTCTAAACTTCATAACTACCTGCTAACTTCTGATCATCTTATTAGGGACACAGTGGTATCCCTGAGGTCCCTTCGGGGTCAAAGACATCTCCAAGTCCTCCCTTTGGACTCTCCATCGCTCCAAGCATGGGGGTTAGTTGGCCGGGCAATATATTACCGGAATATAAAGGGGAGGCAATGCATACTATCCCGGAAGAGTGTGAGAGGCTCTTCTGTGACACATTGTCTGCGATCTTCCTTGGTGAGAGGAGCTTCGCTGGACAAGAGTCACTTGGGGTGGGTGCGTCTCAAAGCCGGCCGAACAATAGTATGCCGATTGAACAGTGGTTTGAGCTGTTGGATTACACCAGCGACACTATACACCGTGGTTTTGTAACCAATACGAGCGGCGAACCGACCTTGTTTGTTTTCCTTGCAGAGAACGCACTCGGTCACGGTCTGAAAACAGGGTATGTGCACCCATGTTCTCGTCGAAATGTAGACGAGGTATAAACCCGTGGATATTACTAACATACTGTCGTGTTTGTCCCCGATAAGGTTAATTGCCCTGTTTGAACTTGCTAATATATCTGCTTTTGGGTGCCCCCGAATTGTGGCATGTGTACCCCGTTCGCACGATGCAGTTGAACTAGAAGCTGTACGGAACCTCGGTTGGTGCGGATTCAGTTTGACTACTTTGCAACCGTGGAGTGGTGCAAGAGACGTCGAACGCTCGCTTAGCACTAAATGGCTTTTCTTGGATGCGGAGGTTTAGTTGTAGGCAACCAAACAGCTAGTTCACTTATTCTAACAAGGAGCAAAGGCCAAATGACATGAATAATCCTTATATATGTATTGATTTTGGGTTATGCTTCCATTCCCTAGTCAGGCCGAAAATGGCCTCACATTTGTAGTTAGCACATCAGCCGGGATCCATAACTATATTGTGTCAGATGACCATGTCATGACTCGTTCCGATAGCTAGATCGCCAAGGAACGGGTGATGACCTCAGTATGATACCTACCCATTTCCATATAAACTCACTGTAACAACTGCCTCTTCTATGCTAGAGATACTAGAGTTATGATAAAAACTAGCAGCATTCTTTGATGCTCTCGCCGTTTGGTTGCTACACATGCCCCCCTATTCAAGTACTTCACAGGGCAAAGATCCTATATCCAAGGCTCTATGTTTCCTAAATTCTTGCTCCAGCCATCTTTCTTCCGAACCAAACAGCGAAGCGTGAGGTCCAGAGTGCCATCTTCGGAAGAAGGATCCGGACGATTTCTGAAGCCAAGTGACGCTGGTTATCTGAAGGGCCATGTCTCATGCATCCGCTGTTCACACTGTGCAGCAGATATATGCCTGACGTCGCAGATAATCAGCAAAGGATTCACCGGTCGCTATGGCCGTGCCTATCTTGTGTCCGGCGAGCCTACACTCGCTAGAGGACCTTCACCAACCGATACACTTCTAAATACGATGATACAGCAGCCCGTGCCGCGGAGACTGGTCACTGGTGCGCACACAGTAGGCGACATCAACTGTTCCATTTGCGGAAATGTGCTCGGCTGGAAATATATCGCTGCTGAAGAAGAGTCGCAACGTTACAAGGTCGGCAAGTTCATTTTGGAGACCGAAAGGGTTATGACATCTTCTTTTTGGGAATCGCCCGCCTTTGTTGAAACAGCATTACTCCCGGCGTATACCAGCTCTACCGAGGTTGGACATGACCAACCTTCGAACAGTATAGAATTTGATAGCCAGAACGAAGATGAATGCGAGGACTTATTTTCTGGAATCTGGACCCCTGGGTTGGCTGTACGTCGAAGAAATCGCAAACTGCCTGAACGCCGGTCTTCTCTATTCGGAATCACAGCCCTATGATAATGAGTTATGCTCTTGCGCCTAATGAAGCTTCATGAGAATCTCCATGTTTGATGAAATGAAGTATGACCCAACAGCCCCACAGTTTCAGACGGAGCAAGGTGGGGTTGTTTGCTATGAAACCGCCTTGCTTTGTGCACCAGACGGCTCTGATTCTTTGATTCATTTTCTCCTTTTCTCCCTTATGGTTCGTTGGGAGCTACCTTAATCAGTAATAATAATATGTGGTATCACAATAGAATTCACAGATAACTTGGTGGCTATTTCTGTATAATGTATAGTTATTTCTGCGGCCTCGCTTCATTGGGTATCATATCCTAATTAACGCTCTAAACCTTTGAGCAAATGCTAGCATGATAGATCACTTCCTCAGGTGATCTCTAGCTGCTACAAAGGGTTGATAGACAGAGCACCAGACACGTTGATGCCTCTGGCGATCAGTATACCCAGGTTCATTCAAGGTTATCGCCTGCTCGTGCTCTCTTTGTATCGCCTCCCGCGCCCTCTTCCGGAGCCGATCGTTTTGGTACAGTCTCACTCTTCTGGGGTGGCTTCTTGCTCGCAGGTTTTCTTTTGACAAACGCAGAAAGGTCATTTGCTTCTTTTGTGACAGCATCGAGATGGGCCTTTTGCTCCGAAGGAGAATGCCCCATAATCTGACCCAAAATACCCTTCAGCACTGTGTTATCTGCATCGCTATTCTCAGTAGCAGATACTGGCGGGCGTCGAAGATCGACGAGCTGTCAACGTTCTTAGTAACTGTAGCTGAAGCAAAGGAAGTAGGAAGGGTATGCGATGAAGGGATTTGGAAAGAAGGCTGTTGCTTACCCTTTGCTCCATGTCTGCTATGATGTCTTTGACATTTGCTATTCTTCTCTTCATAGCGGTCACCTTGTCCTCATCCAATGAATTATCGTCAACCAACTTCTTCTGTTCTTGATCCATCCTCAGACGGCAGCTTTCAATAGCCTTTTCCATTTGAGCTGCGGCCTCTTCCCTCATTTCCTCGTCGACCGGCCCTTTGAGGGTACTGTCCTCTTGGGAGCTGTCGTTCTCATTTTTGACGGAGCCAAATTCTAGGGCAAGAGAAAGCTTGTAGTGACATTCTGCAACAGAAGGATCTTCAATCGGAAATAGAGACTGCCTTAAATCCAGAGACGTCCTCAAGTCCGTCACCGCATCTAAAAACCTTTCTGCCTCCAGTGAGATCTCCGCCTGTAAATCGTACGTATCCGCGAGACGTTCTTTGACGTGCCTGAGATCTGGAGGTAAATCTGCGGATTTCCCTTTGCCAATTCCCTCCTCTATCGTAGTCATCTTTTTGTGGTATAGCACGCGCGCCAGGTCAAGAACTTCGAAGGCATTGGCAAAGTCGTCTTCGTCATCGGCCGCAGCTTCCTCACCGTCGGCCTCGTCTTCCGAACCCGAGTCGTCAAAGTTCTCATCACCAGTGAATTGAAAGTATGGCTTAGCAGGGACATCACCAGTATTTGACTTCTGGGCTCCCGCGGACTTCTCAGGTGGGCCCTGGGCGACAGCTTTCTCAACGATACCTGCGGTTGTGGCTGTTGCCGCAGCGGATGGCCTCTCGACAGATGCGCTGCTCGGCTGTGATTCTCCAGCTACCTTGGACCCAAGCACATCGCTCTTGCTGACGGCAACATTATAGAGGGCTTTTCCGTAGGCGAATAGTAAATCTGCATTTTCCAGCGCTAGTTCTCCGTTGAGTTCTGCTTGAAGTTCCGTGGCCTCAGAATATAGCTCTGCAGCGGCGTTGTAATCCTTGATGGCATCTTTGGCGGCAGCTTGCTTGATAAGGTCGTCCAAAGCCGTTTGAGTCTTTGTACTATCGTCTTTCGGGGATGTAGTTGGTTCCATAATGGATGTGTGTGGTTGATGGTAATATAATGGACGAGGAATGAACCAGAACCAACCCAACAAGGAAATCTCTCCAATAGGCGGGGGGAAATAATGATAATCGGGGTGGAAAGGGGAGTGTAACGAAAGGAGGTTACTCTGGCGAATTTTATGGTGCCTTTGGTCAAAATAGGTCTGGTGCGATGATCAGTGCATGAGTACTGAGAAAGATTAAGGATAATGGCCTTGTAGGTTGTCGCAAAAGTGGGACAAATCGCGTGGGGGACGCGCGTGCCGCCATCACCACCGCCACGACGCGTTCTGCTTGATCTACTCCATACGTCAATGGCTCGTCCAGGTAGGTAATGGTTAATCAGTCAACCAGCGTTGGCAGGATCACCTTGTACTGACAGCGGTTCTCAGTTCTTCCCTCGCCCTCTCCATTTCCTTGAGTTTTTCCCTCTTCACCTATTCTGAGGAACTCTACGGGTTTCTAGTCGTGACATTGTCCCCGCACGATATCCGGCAGTTAGACGCGCATTCGACCAAGAGCGGATTTGCAGTACCAGTGTCGCAGTCACAATTTACTACTTGAATATGGACTCGGACCCCGTACCTTCATCGTCACCCGGATTTGGAACTCCCGCCTATCCATTCCGAAAGAACAGACCCAATGCGCTGCCTACGAGGACATCGGTCCTTCCCATACTGCTCCCTCCTTCGACTCTGCGGCCTGTGGCCTTTCGTACCTTCACGCGCAAGCATAACCTAACGATATCCTCCTCTGCGCTTCAAACACTAGCCACCTTCGTGGGGAAAAATTGTGGCTCGGCATGGCGCGAAGAAGGTCTCGCAGAAAGAGTACTCGATGAAGTGGCCAAAGCCTGGAAGAAAGCTGGCGGTGGTGTCATTGTCGATGAGGGTAAGGGCGCCTCACTGAAAGCCATCCTCCAGGCTTTAGAGAGCAATATGAGTGGGGGAAGGGTAGTCTCTGGGAAGCACGCCACGTCAGATGAGGTCCCATCAAGAACGACAAGCCCCGGCCAAGGAACCAGACGCTCTAGGGCCGATCCGCCAATGTATGCAGCGGCAGGGCTGGAAGGAGAAGGTTCAACAGAAACTTCTGATGTCCCCTCACACCCGAGACATTGGGTTAAAGTTATCGAGGCGTTTGATATACCGCGATTGACCTATAATGCGGATAAGAAATACTTCGAAGTCGCAAGATCAAGGCCTACCCTATTCCCCCCATCCTCTCACAGGACGAATTTGTTCAGAGATCGTTACAATGTCATCCATCAACGTCTACTTCGGCATGAATCATTCCAATCACCGTCTGGTCCCTCGCGTATCTTGCGCCAACCACCATCTTCTTTAGCGGTTACCCAAGGCTACAAGCTCACACCAATCGCGAATTTACTCGGGAGAAATGGCACATCACACCTTATTCTAGGTTTACTCTCAACGTCCCCAACGGGCGACTTAACACTGAGCGATTTGACGGGGAGTATTTCCTTGGATCTTAGACACGCGCGGATGGTGCCTGAAGATGGAGCTTGGCTCGCTCCAGGGATGTTTGTCCTCGTTGATGGGATCTATGAAGAAGAGGAAAATGTCAGGGGGTCCACTCTAGGCGGCAATTCCGGGGTTGGGGGTGCCATTGGAGGAGTTTTCGTGGGCGTTTCTATATGCGGTCCTCCCTGTGAGCGGCGGGAGACATCTCTTGGGATGAACAACCAACAAAGTGGCAGAGAGGTCAGTTCTAGTGGAGGACTTGGATGGATTGACTTTCTGGGAGTCGGAAGTGAACGTGCACGTGGCCCGCGAATGAGGCAGATTGAAACCAACTACCTGCGAGATGTAGCTAAAAGCGAGCGCCGGTTAAGGGTGGCTGCTTTGGGGGAGGTCAATCTGGATAACATGCGGACTCTGGACGCGTTGCGGAAGGTCTTCAGCGTCTATCACCAATTGCCTTCGGAAGAGCGGCCAAGCATATTTGTCCTGACGGGGAATTTCGTGCAGAAAGCGATTATTAACAGCAGTGGCCAGGCGGGCAGCATTGAGTACAAAGAACATTTTGATGCTCTCTCCTTGATACTGTCGGAGTTTCCTTCATTGTTGCAGCACTCGACATTCATATTTGTTCCGGGCGACAATGATCCATGGCCGTCGGCTTTCTCAGCTGGCGCCGCTTCCCCAGTCCCCCGCCATTCGATTCCAGAGTTATTTACTACCAGGGTGAAACGTGCATTTGCTACTGCCAACTCGCAGTCGGACTCCTCACAGTCGTCTGGGCCTCCTGGGGAGGCAATATGGACTTCAAATCCTTCCCGCCTTACCCTATTTGGGCCTGTCCATGATATTGCGATATTCAGAGACGATATCTCTAACAGATTAAGACGAAACGCTGTAAACCTCTCCCACGGCGCCGACACCGCGATGGCTGAAGACGCGCACGCATCTCCTGGGGAGACTACCGACCATCTCGAACCTCACAGCCAGAGCCCACAGACAGGCACTGATTCTAATCCAACCCCGAGTACAACTCTTTTCGCTCGAAGGCTTGTGAAATCGATTCTAGACCAGGGCACTTTGTCGCCTTTCCCGCTTTCTTTGCGGCCCGTTTTGTGGGATTACGTCTCTTCCTTACAGCTGTATCCGCTCCCAACTGCAATTATTCTTGCAGATCCAGAGGCCGCACCGTTTTGTATAACGTATGAGGGCTGCCATGTGATGAATCCTGGCCGGCTTGTTCCGGAGGGCGAACTATCGTTTGTCCGGTGGATTGAGTATGATGCCGTCAAGAATCGAGGCAGGGTACAGCAGGAACGCCTGTAGCGGGAAATTACGTGACGGAACTTATGCACTAGGTGCTTGAAAAAATTAATTTCTTGCGAGGTTAACGACTTGGTGTTGTGTAAATATACAATTGTGTTTTGACGTACGGTGAGCGGTTACATTCGCATCATGCAATGAACGGGTATTGTTATAGGACACAATAGAAACGATTTTCCCTTTTTGGCCCTCCGACACCCAAGGCATATCTCCTCACCTCATTAGACAATATTCTTCCCAAGACTTTATATTTCAACCACAAGGAGCACATGCCAAAATGTATGCATGCGTTCGGCTACCACAGCAGCTGGCATAATAGGGAGCCTCTAATCACAAAGAACTCGACCTGTAGACACTGTACAAGACGCAAATGATGGTCAAGAAATCAAATACGTTTCAAGTGAAAAGAAAATAGATGCCTAAGATGCACTAGTCCAGGCAGTGGTCATGAGCGGTTTCAGTCGATCATGATTATGTCCTCTTTCTGCGCTGCCGTGTCTGCCTGGGAAAGACTGCTTTTGTCGTTCGGCATGGTTGTAAACGGGTCTGAGAGGGAAATTTTAGCACCATCTGCAGTCCCTTTTTCGGTTTCCAACGCCGAGGTTCCTGGATTGTTCGATCCACTAACGGCAGGATCAGCCCGGGAGGCAACAAAGCAATTCTCAAGTTCTCGTAAGAGGTTTCCGACTTGGTTGACTTCTGCCACGACTCCAGTTTCAAGACCTTTCCAGCCATCGCCCTTCGATGTATACAGTGTCTGTCTGAGTCTGGCTGTGATACTGTCATTGTTCTTACTATTTCCTTGGCTGTTCGCGTCCTTGAGTACCCAAACCAACCGGTTTTGGTGCGAAGCAGCCACCAATTGAAATCGAGCCTCGTCCCCAGGGTAGTGAATTTGGTACGTCTTAGCGTTGCGCACTGTTACGTGCAGTCTCAAAGGCCCGCTGTATGAGGGATTGGCCATTAGCTGGTCCAAAGCCCTCATCAGGGGAAGCGTAAGCGTGAGGAGCTCAACAACGGTCTCAAGTCCCGCCTCGGTGGAAGAGCGGTTAAGACTAGACGCAAGGGAATCCTGGATTCGGCGGTGCGGGTTTTGAAGACCGAACTGTATGCCTAAACGCAGACCAAATAAAGACTCGGACCTAGATGCCAGCTCAGTAGGGCTAAGCTCCATGAGTGATTCGTTCCTTGACAGATGTATATTGAGGCTAGCCGCAAGATCTCTCTCTGGACCATAAACAAAGGATATACTCGATAGCGAGAAGGTCCGAATCTCTACCTTTTTCCGTTGCAGTGACTCAAGAACGGAAAGCACACACTCAAGCCTCTGCAAATTCTCAAGAAGACTGGCGATGACCGGGTGACCCGCAGGTGCAAGCAAACGCATCGCAAAGCCACTGCCTCCCTTTTGAAACACTAGTGAGCGATCCCAGCTCGAGATAAGTGGACCTAATGTAGCCGTAGAATCGACCAAGTTGCCATAAGCTACCATGATAGCGCACTTCTCACGAGGATCAACTCCATGGAAAGCAAGACGAATAGTATCTCTAATGAGACTCTTCTTCTTTGCCTTGACGGGCATGGCTGCCCTAAAGACACTAGGAAGAGTTGATACATCGTACCGGACAAGGATATCTGGCACTCGGAGATCAGGTTCAATCTTCAACTTATGTGGCGGGGGATGGAACTTGATAGACTGCAAGTCCGACAAGTAGCGTGCATTGGAATGAATGGCCAGAATTCCTGAAAGACTGTGTCCGAGGTTTGCGAGGTATGCATCGTCAATATCATAGCGTGCGGGGAAGAATGAATCTGTGACAACCTGAGCGGAACGGAGGACAGACTGGCCACGGCCGCTTCCATGAGGGACGGGAGGACCCTTTGCAGGCGCCGTTGGGCGAAGTTGCACAACCCACCAAGAATCGCTATCCATGCTGCTGGTTGCTGCCACAATCCAATTCCGTCCCCAAAGCTGATGAGAAAAGAGTGTGAAGCGTAGCACATTCGGTGGGAAGATCCTTCGAATGTCAACTTTCCATGCCCTCGGATTGAGTGGCTCGAATCCTAGCATTTTGACCTTGGATTCTATTTCTTCTATAGCTGCATTGCAGCGGATTCGAGCAACACGGGAGACAATGTCCTCAACAGAGGATCTTTCAGGATTGCGCTCTAGATCAGAGCGGTCCGAGACAGTCGGTGTGGCTGAAAAGATACTCATTCCGGACATGGGTTCAATAGACACTCGAAGATGCCTAGTTTCCGTGAGCTGGGCATCGAGTTGGCAATCACCCGGCTCAGTTCTTGTTAAGTGAGCACGCAAGGATAGGAAGCCAGTTGAGAAAAGCGAGCTTTGTCTTATCTTGTTGTATGCCGAAGAAAGGATGTGGGAGACATGCAGTGCGATGACACTTCGCAGGACAATCTCCATGGAGAGATTTTCTGCATCAAAAGCAATATCTTCACATGGCACCTCGCCCCCATCCCTCATCCAGCGGAACTTCAAAGACGGTAACCCAGGGCTTTCGCTGTCTGACTTGCGATGGCCGCTCCTGATTCCGATCTCAAGCCAGCTTTTAGCTCCAGGCTTCAGTGTCCAGTACTGAACGACAAGTGTTCGGTGCAATAACTCAACCCGCAAACATTCAGACCAAGGACCTCTAGCCATTTCAGTAGCTTGCTTGAATAATATGTTGACTTTATTCGTCAACACCAGGTTATGTAACAAGTCGAAGCACCCGGTCAAGCCACTATTTTGAAGCACGTCATTAATCGTCATTTCGAGCTCGTTCAATAATCGGCCCTTCAATATTGGTGGTGAAGGCGAGAAGAGGAAACGTATATCGACAAAGAAAAACTGCGAATTTTCGTTCTCCTCGCCAATGGAGAGGTCAAGTTCGAATTCGCCAGGGACGCCAAATGTGACCCGGCCATCATGGACCCGGTAATTTCTGAATGGAGGAGGAATCTCTTCTTGCACCACGAGTCGTGCACCGATTAATCGATTGATTTTCTGTAATTTCTTGAGCGTCCCTCGGACGGTCAAGCGCCGTGGGGGTTTGTAGCCGAGCTAAATTTCGGCGCAAACAACATTAGAGAGATGGCCAATACTATAGAAGATAACGGAGCTTACATCGGACATTGACGCCACCTTGCCCCTCGACAAGACTTCCAGTGCGGTCTTCAGATCAGGATTTGCTACCTGTGCCTGAACGAGGTCTCTTTTCATGTCCCCAACCCATTGTAACGCATTCATATACGCTTGATGCCGGGTGCGAATGAAATTCTGAATGTCGATCAATTTACTAACATCAGCTGCTTGTCGACTCCATTGAGAGAGGACGAGCAGCTTTATGAATTCGGCTCTTTTAGCGTGAGAAAACTCTAATATTCGAAGCTTCTTCCGTATGTTTCCAGGAGACTGATTTCCAGGCGACTTCCCAGTAGTTGGAGCTGTCGAGGGGTGAAATTCATGAGAATTCACCTGCATCTCCGCCATTTCAGTAATCAAGTCCGATAGATCGTTCCAGCACTGCTGTACGGACCTATTGACCAACTTCGTGAAAGGGAAGAACCCCTGTGTGATATGGGGCAATTCAGGCGGTCCTTTAGTTACCCTTAATGCATGATTTGCTGAGACTGTCTCCACGCTTCGACTTTGACTGGCGTTCTTTTCGACACCATTAACATGAACAGGACCATCTTGTGCATTGGCGCCATTGAATTGAACAACTTCTCCCCGAGGATGTGACAGTCCATCTTGAGGATAGGTGTTGCCTGTCCCGTGTCTTAGTCCGCCAATGTTGGCATTGTCCATGACGACTCCCGGCATGTTCCGTGCATAAACGTGCTCCACGTAGAGTTAATCCCTCCCCTCCTTTACCCCTCGCACAGCACAGAACGAGCGGCTCAATATGGGGCCTTTCTGATACCGGAGGAACTGGCACCGGGGTAGGGAGGGAAGCTGGCTATGCTGGGTAGGTCGGCCGAAGACTTCAATGTAATGCCATTTATGTTCTCTCAACCAGGGCGCAAACGGTTGGTTTATGGTTAGCGACCGGATCGAGGAACTGTAACTGGCGCGTTATGCGCTCAACGTAGGGGGGCGGTTGACGACTGATTGAATGAACTCAGACCGAGGTGTTAGGGTCTCGTTGCTCTGGAGGATCCTCAGATTGAGGCAATGGCCCAGCGCATAGGCTTGGCTGAGCACAAAAGTGGCTTGATAGATATAACTTAGAATTTGCCTCGATGGGACAGAGATGCGACGCTAATTTGGAAGATGTGACTGCCGTGTGATATGCAGGGTATCGAAAACCGAAGGCGGGGAGCTAGGTGATGTCAGAATAACCCTTTATAAGAATAGAAGACGTGTAAAAGACATTCGCAAGATGAGTGAGTGAAGCGTAAATACTGTGGGATCAAAGGTGGCGGGATGGATACCAATATGCTTGCAGAAGCGTTGAGGATCTGTGAAAGTACTGGTGGATGATCGAAAGATGAGGCCTGCGCGATGCGATGCAAATGCATGAGCACGGGATCAGCCAGTAGCTAGATTTTGGTGCCTTTGTGCCTTAGTTTTCTGCCCGGCTAAAATTACAATACCATACATTAGCTTCGTTAGATTGAATCAGCCGATAGTATATGACAGGTAATATAAATACCACTATCATACAGTTACACCGCATTCCAGGACCTAAAGGGTTAGGTTCTCCGAAGCACCTGGTCAGAGAGAGCTCCTTAGCGCTTTAGATAAGTAGATAAGTACTCGACCCAGGTCTCCAAGCTTCCTCCATCCCCGGCCGCGCTATACGGTTGTCGGACCGGAGAGCTATCAATCAACCTACTACTAAAACTTTATTAATCAGTTCCTGGATAGAGAACATCATTACGCCCTTCATTTGTTGCTTTTGCTGACGTTTCCTCCCTTTTTCCGAGCTCTGCCTGTTACTCGCTTCCAGCCTCACCGTCATCAATAGCACTACTACTATTATCCAGCCGACATCTTTCCTGCAGATTCCGTTTCACAGCAAAGCAAGCTCAATCGTAAGTAGCAGGTTCCTATTCATTTTTAGCTGTCATTATGCGTATAGCATACCTATAAATCTACTATCAATTTACCAAAGCCGCCGTTTGTACGACTTGTTCCAGCGTATACGTTAACCAGCTTCAACAACATTCTACAGACACGCGTGTTCGGTCTAGCTGTTCTCAATTTTGGATATGTGAGCAATTCATAATGCAGAATTGCACCAATTCACCGGAAGTTCAAACCGCTTCCATTCGTCCTCCGCCTCCAGAATTCCCCGGAGATGACACCAGACCGACATCTAAGAAGGAGCTCGCTGGATGGTACAGCTATGGCTGGGCTGCCGAGGTTTTTACAGTGTGCGCTATGGGTATGTATCTCTTAAACAGGCCGAGAAGTAAAATTTGTACACCTTCTCATATACTTTAGGATCGTTCCTCCCCATCACCCTAGAGCAAATGGCTCGAGACCGCGGTGTACTTCTTTCGGATAAGACAATACCGTGCAGTGCTTCTTGGAGCTCTCTAGAGCCGACCTCACCATCGGGGACATGGAACACCATCTTTGATACCACTGCATCTATCAAACCAGGCTCACCGAGAACAAGCCAGTGCATTATCCATATACTCGGCGTTGAAGTCAACACTGCAAGCTTCGCTATGTACACATTCTCACTGAGTGTGTTCATACAAGCCATTTTGATAATATCAATGTCAGGTGCTGCGGATCATGGAAGCTACCGCAAAATGCTGTTGGTCATCTTTGCACTTATTGGCTCCGTTTCTACGATGCTGTTCCTTGCAGTCGTTCCAAGGCTCTACCTTCTAGGTGGGTTGTTAGCGATTATAGCTAATACATGTTTTGGAGCTTCTTTTGTACTATTGAATTCTTTTCTGCCTCTGCTGGTTCGCTATCATCCCATATTGCTGGGTGGACATGGTGAGGAGGATTCACCCGCCGAGACCAACCATGATTCGACCTCTACCGCCGATGGCTCGGGTCAAACCGACGGAACTGAAACAACATCACTGCTTCGGCCAGAACAAAGCCGCAATGCCTCTTCTACGGGCGATGAAACTCAAGTGTTTGCCTCGAAAACTTCTCAGGAATTGAAGCTCTCCACAAAGTTATCCTCAAACGGGATCGGCATCGGATACATAGGTGCAGTGATACTGCAAGCCATTTGCATCCTAGTTGTTGTCGAAACTCACCAGACAACATTCTCGTTACGCCTAGTCCTCTTTTTGATTGGGCTCTGGTGGTTTACCTTCACCATACCCGCGGCAATGTGGCTACGTGCCCGGCCCGGCCCGCCCCTTCCATATGGGAAAGAGACTCGTACATGGACTAGTTATATGGCATACGCTTGGAAATCTTTGGGCAGAACAATAATGCGCACTCGACATCTGAGAGATATCGTGTTGTTCCTGGCAGCTTGGTTCCTCTTAAGTGATGGTATCGCGACAGTCAGCGGGACCGCCGTTCTATTTGCAAAGACACAACTGGGAATGCAACCAGCCGCTTTGGGGCTGATAAATGTCATTACGATGATTGCAGGAGTCTTTGGAGCTTTCTCTTGGAGCTTTGTGTCGCGAGCATTCAATCTCCGAGCTTCACAAACGATAGTTGCTTGCATTGTTTTATTCGAGCTTGTGCCGCTCTATGGTCTCTTAGGCTTTATCCCCGCAATTAAAAGCCTAGGGTACTTAGGCCTCCAACAACCATGGGAGATGTACCCATTGGGTGTCATATACGGACTCGTCATGGGTGGACTTTCTTCATACTGTCGGAGCTTCTTTGGGGAATTGATCCCTCCGGGATATGAGGCTGCATTCTATGCTTTGTATGCCATCACTGATAAAGGTTCCAGTGTTTTTGGTCCCGCCATTGTTGGAATCATCACCGATCGTTACGGGGAAATCCGACCTGCCTTCGTCTTCCTGGCTGTCCTGATCTTGCTTCCTTTACCATTAATGCTCTTGGTCGATGTAGAGCGTGGAAAGAGGGACGCGCTTTCACTTTCGAAGGAACTCGAGGGAAGAGCCAGACAGGAGGTACCGGCCTATGGAGCTGTCACCCAATGCCCGTCTCATAACGCGAACCTAGTGGAATAGAGGCGATAGGATGACTCGTAATTCATGTTTTTACCCGTCTGAGTAGATGTGGCAATCACCCGAAGGTGTTACTTTGTGTGGCCGAACAATGGCCCTGTTTGTTTTACCCCGGGTCTAAGGGACTGGATTGATTATTTTAATGGCGCTTAGTAACTATATAGGCGGCATGCGCCGTGCCTGATGTCCACCAGTACTTGCACCTAATTACCCGGCATAGTAGGTAGACACAACGGTGTGGAGGAGGAGCACAATAAACTGGGCTGCATGTAGATTATTGTGTGATTACTATGGTTAAATAGAAGTAATTCGAGACCTTGCCATGGAATGTGGCCAGCTGGAAGGTCCGCAGGAGTAGGTTCAACCCTTGGAGAAGGAGGGGGTAGGGTAAAGGAGGAATGACTGAATACCAAGTAGTATCTAGTTAGCAACTACGGAGTACAGCAAGTAAATAACTAATTTAACCTAGTAACTGAACCGTTACTTAATTAAGTAATAAAGGGATCCAAATTGGTCGATGTAGGGGCGGTACCTCGGTACCACTAAGACAAAAGTGGGTAAGTAGCTCCCCAGGGGAGATACACTATGGTCTCACAATAATAACTAATCATCATCATGGATACTGGTGTCCCATGTGCCTGAGCATGCATCTATGTCTACTACCATCCCTACCGGTCAATCGACCAAGTTGCTAGTAGCCATCGGTTTAGGTATCTACCTGGTACTTCCCTTTCTTTAGTGAAGTATGCCTAGATTACCAGTCCCTTGGTATGAAGGTCCCTTGCTGTCCAGGGCGGGTCCGGTTGAGCCAGTCAGAATGCTCAGCAGGCCAGCTGACTGCAGAAAGAACAGACTGTCCTCATCGCCTCTTCATAGCTACAGGAGTAGTGGATTAGCTAGTTAATTCAGGCGGATCAGCCTATGATACTACTGTACTATTTATTTAAGAACTATTTGCCTTCCCATTCGCCCCCATCGCTCTTTTCTCTTTCGGTAGCTTCTGCTCTACGCATCACCTGCCTTCCTCTTCCTCCCCTCTCCTCCCTCTAATCCGGGCGGTCTATTGTTTATTTTCATTGACTTTCGAGGTTCTTCGAAAGCCACTGGGAAAAGCAGACATCCATCGCGATACCCCCTCCCATTGTCCCCGACTCCGCTGCTATTTCTTCTGTATTTCAAAATGCGCTCCTTCGCGCCCTGGCTCGTTAGCCTTCTCGGAGCATCCGCGGTGGCTGCGGCTGCTGATACCGAGTCTGATGTTATCTCACTGGATCAAGACACATTCGAGAGCTTCATGAACGAGCATGGTCTCGTCCTTGCCGAATTCTTTGCTCCTTGGTGTGGCCACTGTAAAGCCCTCGCGCCAAAGTATGAGGAAGCAGCCACGGAGCTGAAGGCGAAGAATATCCCTCTGGTGAAGGTTGACTGCACCGCCGAGGAGGATCTCTGCCGGAGTCAGGGAGTGGAAGGTTACCCTACCCTCAAGATCTTCCGGGGTGTTGACTCTAGCAAGCCGTACCAGGGCGCGCGTCAAACAGAATCGTGAGTTCAAGCCTCAAAAAACGCTGTCATGTATGTGATGTGCCACTGACCCATACGGTGTTTCCTAGTATCGTTTCCTACATGATTAAGCAGTCACTTCCTGCAGTATCCTCAGTGAACGAGGAGAATTTGGAAGAGATCAAGACCATG